TGGCAAGGCTGGTGATACAAAAAGGGTAAAATTCATTTTCATGCTTATTTTAGGTTTTCCTATATTTGCAGTTTTATGTTAAGTCTGTCTAAAAGTTAAACTTTGATCTACATATCTGAAGTCTTTTGTATGTGAATGCCAAATTCTCATTTTCATTTTTGTTCTTCAATTTCTAGGAAGTCTGTGTCATTACCAATAAAGTGGTTCACTGTTGGACAATGTTGGCGGTACGAGAGAATGACAAGGGGGCGTCGTCGTGAGCACTACCAATGGAACATGGATATTATCGGTGTTCCTGGGGTTATGGTACGTGCTGCCTGCTATACACACTTTTTGAAGTAATGGACTGTCCTCTTTCTGGTAAGACGTTTCATGATTGATCCAGAAAGCTTCGCACTGAGGTGTCATCAGTTCATAGTTGTGCCATTATAATTATGTTTGTGTAGCATAGTTATGGTAAGATAGCCTATGAATGCTCCTTGATGTCAAGTCATGAGATATGTTGGTTTTTAATTTATATTATTATTATTATTATGCCTTTTAAACGCTTTTGGGTATATTTTTTTGTTGGTTCAATTACGTGCCTTGTTTTAAATTTTTGAATGATAGTACTTGTAATATTATTAAAAAAAATCAGACTGTAATTCTTATATTCAATTTGTCACTATACTTTTTTTTATTTATTATTTTGTAGGCTGAAGCAGAGCTTATATCTTCTATTGTCACTTTGTTCAAGCGAATAGGAATTACAGAATCAGATGTTGGATTTAAGGTTTCCAGTCGAAAGGTGGAGATTTCATTTTCATTGTATGTGTTGAATAGTGTATTTAATACATGGTAAATATGTAAATAGGTTGTTATTAGAAATTAGGAATGCAGTTATCAAAATTTTAGTGATGTGATTTATTCTTATGTATTTATGACTAATTCTGTTGTACCCTAATTTGTGATTATAGATTAGACTCGTGTAAACATACTACACACAACATTCAAATATATTTCTTTTTCTATGTTGTATCAACAGTTTAGGTAATTTCTTTTCTTTTTTCAAGATCCTCTATTCCATAGAGTCACTCTTGCAAGGATGAACAGTACTCATGGCATTGGGAGCTACTTTTCCCCTTCCACTGTGCCTCTTTTCTCTGGTGTTCCCCCACTGCTTGAACTGCCATCCTTTAATGACCCAACACCGAAAGCCTGTTACCAATTGTTGTCACTAGTTCAAGTTTTCTCTCGTGAGTGAGTGAGTGCTATGTGCCCTCACTAGTCTGGCCAACCTACTACTTCAATAATTTAGTCCTTTTTCTAGCATGACTCATTTTTTTGCTATCCACATCGTGGCGACTCTTTCGCCACTCTTTCTCAGTCTGGCCTCCTTCTCCAACCCTTTTTTTGGCTTCCTTTCTCGTGGCCACTGACAGTGCACCTTCAGATTTTGGTGTTTTAATGACTTCTATAAACGTCCAATTGATCTACGTCAAAATTGATTGGAAGTTTCAAGGCCAAGGTCGTGGTGGCCACCGTTGTGTTTTTCACTAGACATTGTAATTGCTATGGCCATGTTGAAGCTGAATGACGCACCAAGGCTAGATAACAATCTAGGTTTCTAATCTTGCTCAACTCACTACCACTGATACCATTGAGGTGTTACTATTTTTGTTGTTGATTACAATTATTTTTCTCCAATTCAAGACAACCCAATAGCCCACCTCATTTTTGCCATTGTTGCTTAGTCTGGTAATCTTGTATCCTTTATTTCTTAGTTGTTCTCTCTTGGACCTTGGATACATGACATCAGTGCTTTAGATCATATGATTGGTAACAAATCCCTTTTCTCTTGTCTGTCTTATTTGGATTCTTTGCCTTCTTTTTGGTGCATGCTTGTTTTGCATGATTGTTTTATCTTCATGTATTGTTGCAATTAATTTATAGTAGTATTTCGTGAAGTGTCATTATTGGGTTTTTGCATGTAGTTTGTTTCAAACTTTGTAGGTAAACAGAGTCTGTAGACAGTGTTTAGTTCTTACATTTAACTTATTCATGTGGTTATATTTATTGCTTTGGTTTATGATAGCCTTTCACTTTTGTATATCTCCTTGCTTTACAGGTTCTACAAGAAGTATTAAATTGTTATTCAGTACCAGAAAATTTATTTGGCAAGGTCTGCGTCATTATTGATAAAGTGAGTGATGCATAATGTTGCTCTTTTTGTTTATTTTCCTAATTGTTGATGGTGCTCTAGCATTCGTGATGACTAGCAAATATGATAAGGGATCATGATAGCTTCGATTTATTCTTGTGGTTTTAAAATGACTTGCAAACATCATAGATCAAGTGATATTAATTGGAATGATCTGTACACATGGTCCTCCCTTTTCTATGGCTGCTTCTTAAGGTCAAGAATATGATCTAATATCTGCTATGCATAAATAGATTATAAGTGCATAGGTTCATGTAAAAGTAGAACTGGAATACTACATCTAACATCATATACCATTAAATTTCTATGGACTATAGCTAGCATGTGTTTATTGATAAAGGATATTTCTCTTCCTCCATGCTTGTTATATCTCTATTTCCATTACTACAACAACAACCAGGGCATTTTCACATCCACAGCTAGCTCATGTTGGTGACTTTTGATCATTATTGATGGTTCTAAAAGACCTATTGAAATGTTTTCTCAAGAGTTCTATTAACCAACCAAACATTGTAATTTTATTTTCCTATATATCCATCCTTTTTAGTTTAAGGTAAGATCCTTGAGAATTTTTCTTCAGTAGAATGTCTGTGTTATGAACTTATATTCAATATGCAAGATACGTCTAACATTCACCTTGACAAAGCAATATTATGAACCTTTATGTGTGGACACTTAAATCATAATTTTATTTGTCATAAGCTGTCATATGGATATGGTGTGGGTATCTATTTTTCTGTTCCTTTTGGATCAATATGATTAACCCCATTTTTAGTTCATGTCTATGTTTGTAATGATTGAAATTTCATATTATGGACCTTTTCCTTGTCTACTGTTGATAATAAAGGTGTGATCATAATATCAAAGCAAATTGTTTCTAATAAAAAATTGTTATTGTTAATTTTGTATAGATTGAGAAAATTCCAGTTGATGAGATAAAGAAAGAGTTAAGAGCTGTTGGTCTATCACAAGACGCTGTCCAAGAGCTATTACAAATCCTTTCTGTGAAGTCATTGACAGAGTTAGAAGGTTAACCCTTTACAATTTCCTGAAAATCTTATATTTTCTTTCTTGTGAATATTTGAAAAACACTAAAATAGCTAGTTGTAGCTTTGTGCTTGAGAGTAGGTTTATAATTTAAGAATACTGGCACAAGCTTTTATCATTTCCTACAATATGGATCGTAAATAATTAAAGATTCATTCCTTATTATTGGCCAACTTCTTTCATTTGCTTCTTTTTTTAATTGAAGCTTCGTGTTCCTAGTGGATGGGATTTTGGAAACTTGGTTAGCTTGATAGTCTTGTTCTTGTAGAATATTTGACCCCGTTGCTTCTTATTATTGGTACAATACTTGACATCATTAATTTTCTATCAATTATATGTCGATTTATATCTTGATTTGATATTGTAAATTTGTAATAAATCTGTTCAGAATCAGAATAGTATTATTAAAAAATAATCAGAGAAATTAGATATTTCCTTCTTTGTTTTGATATTTATGCTTTTACATACTTGGAGGCCATCAATGGTACCATGAAATTCATGTACAATGTATTAGTTTGCAAAAATCAAGCCATACAACTTACAAGAAGTATAAATTTGGTTGTATTTAGAGAGACTCGGAAGTGGTGGGG